ATGGAATAAAGAAAACATCCTGTTAGAAGCAAGTTTAAGGGGAAAAAAGAGTTCAGGAGAGCTGGCAGTTTTTAAGAGGCATTATTAAAGACACAAGAGCAAACTAGCCCAATGCATAGGAAAGACAGGAAGTATGGTAGGAGACCACCCTGGCTTAACCTGGAGATCTCTGTCCTGAAATTCAAAAAAGAATCACAGAAAAAGTGGAAACTAGGTCAAATTATGAAGGAACATGTAGGGACAAACATGTAGGGACAAAATTAGAAAGGCCAAGGCACAAAACAAGATTAAACTGGCTACAGACATAGAGGGTATTAAGAAAACATTTTACAAATACAGTAGAAATAAGAGGAAGACCAAGGACTGGGTAGGCCCATTACTCAATGAAGCGGGAGAGACAATAACAGAAAAGGCAGCAACAGCCAAAGTTTTAAATGCCTTTTTTGCTTCAATTTTCACCAGAAAGGTTAGCAGCGATTGTGCAACTAACAGTGAAAATCAGTGTAAACGAGGTAGGATCGGAGGCTAACATAGGGAAAGAACAAGTTGAAAAGGGCTCAGGCTATGTCTACACTATGCAGCTTTTAGCGACACGGCCGCACCTCTACAGCCATGCTGCTAAAAGGTGCACAGTGTAGCCGCTGTTTGTCAGCAGGAGAGAGCTCTCCCGCCAACAAAAAACTTCCACCCCAGCTAGCAACATTAGCGTTGTTGGCAGGAGAGCGCTTCTGCTGACAACGCACTGTTCACACCGGTGCTTGTCGTCAGCACAACTTTTGTCTTTTGGGGGCTGTTTTTTTAACACCTCTGAACGACAAAAGTTTTGTCTTTCACTTCCCAGGGTAGACAAAGCCTTAGACAAGGCAGATGTCTTTATGTCAGCAGAGCCTGATGAAATACATCCTAGAAGACTCAAGGAGCTGACTGAGAAGATATCTGAGACATTAGCAATTATCTCTGAAAACTCATGGAAGACAGGAGAGATCCCAGAGAACTGGAAAAGGGCAAATATAGTATCTAGCTATAAAAAGGAGAATTAAGGACAATCCAGGGAATTATAGACAAGTTTTTACTCCTGGGAGAATTCCCTGCCACTGTGCATGCGCAGAATTCATGTCCCCCACAGAAAAATGACTTTCTGACAGGGAAGCAAAGGGAAGCTGCAAGAGCAGTCACGCACCACGCCCTAGCTGCACAGATACATTGTTTCAGGCAGCCAGCAGAGAGGTAAATCACTGCAGGGCTGGGGACACCCCTGCCAGTGGCTCCTACCCTGAGCCGGGATCAGCTGCTAGTCCCGGCTGAGCTGGAGGCAGGAGAGGACGGGACTTCCTCTTCCCCTGCAAGCAGTGGCTGGGGCTGTGTCAGAACCACCCCCAGAAATCTCTCCCAGCTGCAGGAAGCTCAGCATCCTCCCCTGCTTCCTCCTCACATAGTTCCTCAGCTATGGGGGCAGCTGCTCCCCCATCCACCCAACCCTTGTGCATCTGGACCTCCCCTACCCAGACACCCCTGCCAAGCCTCACCTGGTACTCCCAGAACCCCTCAGCCCTCCATACCCAAACCCCACCCCACTGAACCTCAACCCCTGCATCAGGAGCCTCCCTGCACCCAGATCCCCTGCCTCCGGCTCCCCCCACCCCTGCACCCAGACCATCTCCCACTGAGCTCCATGCACTCAAACACCCACTCTGATGCCCCGCCTCCTGCACCACCCTGAGCCCCCACATCCAGACCCCCACGCCATTGACCTCCAACTAGCTGCACCCAGACCCCCACTCCACCAAGCCCCACTCCCCAGCACACAGACCCCTCCGCTGAGCCCCAACCACCTTCACCTGGAAGCCCCTGCAGAGTCCCATTACCTCTGCACCTGGAACCTGCCCCCCAGTGAGCCTCTGTGCATCCAGACCCCCCCCAGCTAGACCCTCCACTGAGCTGCCTGCACCTAGATTGTCCCACACAGAACCCTCTCACCCCACACCTAGACCCCTCCATACTGAGCCCCTCCACACTTGAATCCTGCCTGGTTGAGCCTGCCTGCCCCACATCTGGTGCACCTGGCACAGCGGGGCAAGATCCCAGGGTGTTTCTGGGGCAGGCCCAGACCTTGTGCTGTATCTGGGTCGGATGCAGCCTCACTGCTGAGTCCATGTCCCGGGAGTGGGGGAGCTGCTAGGCAATCTCCCACCTTCGTACAGCCAGTGGTCCATGTTCCCCACTGCCATGCTGGAGCCTCTGCATTTATTTAATGACAAATAACACTTGCAGAATTTTAAAATATTGTGCGCAGAATTTTTAATTTTTTGGCGCAGAATGCCCTCAGGAGTAACAAAGTCAGCTTAACTTTGTTATCCAGGAAGCTAATGGAGCAAAAATAATCAATCAATCCATTTGTAAGCACCTAGAAGATAATAAGGAGATATGTAACAGTCAAAATGCATTTGTCAAGAACAAATCATGTAAAACCAACCTAGTATCCTTCCTTGACAGAGTAACAAGCCTTGTGGATGAGGGGATGCAGCAGATGTGATATATCTCAACTTTAGTGAGACTTTTGATACTGTCTCACATGACCTTCTCATAAATAAAGTATGGAAATATAGCCTAGACCAGGGGTGGGCAAACTTTTTGGCCCGAGGGCCACATCGGGGTGCGAAACTGTATGGAGGGCTGGATAGGGAAGGCTGTGCTCCCCAAACAGCCTGGCCCTCGCCCCCTATCCGCCCTCACCCACTGCCCACCCCCTGACTGCCCCCCTCAGAACCTCCGACCCATCCAACCCCCCCGCTCCTTGTCCCCTGACCGCCCCCTCCCGGCACCCCCTGCCCCTAACCAGCCCCCCAGGATCCCATCCCCATCCAACCCCCCCCCGCTCTCTGTCCCCTGACTGTCCCGACCCCTATCTACACCCCCGCCCCCTGACAGGCCCCCCCCAGGTCTCCCACCTATCCAACCCCCCCTGCTCCCTGTCCCCAGAATGCCCCAACCCCTATCCACACCCCCGCCCTCTGACAGGTCCCCCGGAACTCCCATGCCCTACCCAACCTGCCCTGTTCCCCGACCCCTGACCACTCTTCCCCCCCCAGAACCTCTGCCCCATCCAACTGCTCCCTGTCCCCTGACTGCCCCCCGGGACTCCCTACCCAACCCCCGCCACTGCCCCCTTTCCATGCCGCTCAGAGTGGCAGGAACTCACAGCCCTGCTGCCCAGATGGAGCCAGATGCGCTGCCCATGCAGCGGCGTAACTATGGGGGGGATGGGAAGGGCAGCAGGGGTGGGGCTGGTGGCTAGCCTCCCCGGCCAGGAGCTCAAGAGCCGGGCAGGACAGTCCCGTGGACCGCATGTGGCCCGCAGGTCGTAGTTTGCCCACCTCTGGCCTAGACAAACCTATATAAGATGGATGATAACTGGTTGGAAAAAGGTACTCAGAGAGTAGTCACAGTCAAGCTGGAATGGCATATCGAATGGGGTCTCACAGGGATCTGTCCTGGGTCTGGTTCTGGTTCTGTTCAATATCTTCACAAATTATTTGGATAATGGCATAGTGAGTACACTTATACAATTTGCATATGATGCCAAGCTGGGAGCAGTTGCAAGTGCTTTGGAGGACAGGTTTAGAATTCAAAATAATCTTGACAAACTGAAGAAATGGTCTGAAATAAACAGGATGAAATTCAGTAAGGACAAATGCAAAGTACTACACTTAGGAAGGAATAATCAGTTGCACAAATACAAAATGGGAAATGACTGCCTTGGAAGGAGTATTGCAGAAAAGAATCTGGGGGTTATAGTGGATTACAAACTAAATATTAGTAAATAATGTAATACCATTGCAAAAAAAGTGAACATCATTCTGGGATATATTAGCAGGAGCGTTGCAACAAGACACAAAAAGTAATTCTTCCAGTCTAGTCAGCACTGATAAGGCCCCAACTGAAGTACTGTGTCCAGTTCTGGGCAATGCACTTCAGAAAAGATGTTGAGAAATTGGAGAAAGTCCAGAGGAGAGGAACAAAAAATGATTAAAAGACTAGAAAATAAGGCCTACAAGGAAAGATAGAAAAAATTGGGTTCGTTTAGTCTGGAGAAGAGAAGACTGATGGGGGACACGATAACAGTCTTCAAGTACGTAAAAGGTTGTTTCAAAGAGGAGGTTGCTTTAAAGAGGATAAATTGTTCTCAACCACTGAGGACAGGACAAAAAGTAATGGTCTTAAATTGTAGGAAGGGAGAAGAGTAGACATTAGGAAAAACTGCCTACGTATATAGGTAGTTAAGCACTGGAACAAATTACATAGGGAGGTTGTGGAATCTCTGTCACTGGAAGTTTTTAAGAACAGGTCAGACAAACACCTGTCAGGGATGATCTAGACCGGGGTAGCCAGCCTGAGGAGGAGCCAGAATTTACCAGTGTACATTGCCAAAGAGCCACAGTAATACGTCAGCAGCCCCACATCAGCTCCACCCCCCGCTCCCAGCGCCTCCTGCCCACTGGCAACTCTGCCAATCAGCACCTCCCCCTCCCTCCCCACACCTCCCGATCAGCTGGTTCATGGTGTGCAGGAGGCTCTGGGAGGGAGACGGGGAGGAGCGAGGGCATGGCAGGCTCAAGGGAGGGGGCAGGAAGGGGTGGAGTGGGGCAGGGCCTGGGGCAGAGCCAGGGATTGAGCAGTGAGCACCCCCCGGCACACTGGAAAGTTGGCACCTGTAGCTCCAGCTCCGGAGTCAGTGCCTAGACAAGGAGCCGCATAGTAACTTCGGAAGAGCCGCATGGGGCTCCGGAGCCCCAGCCTGGCCACCCCTGATCTAGATAAAACTAACTCCTGCCTCAGCACAGGGGACTACTATACTAGATGACCTATCAAGCTACCGTCCAGGCCTACATTTCTCTGATTCTCTGATTAACTAACATGAAACTTTCATCCTGATGAAAGAAACATTTGATTGTTATATTCCCAATTCTGTGATTCGCCATAGAAAACAAAATCCTGCAAACCTGAATTCTTCATAGGATGCCACCTTCTGGTGAACGGCTCGGAACTTGGCATCGTTTTCTCTTTGATACTTTTCATCAGCAGCAACAGCAGCCTGCAGTTCTCTCTCCAAAGCACAAAAATCTATCGCTCCAGTTTCCTCCATTTCAAAAACCTGAGAGCCACACATATAACCACGAGAGTGACTTCAGGTGCATAAGCATCAGACAAGAGATACTGCTCACTCTTTCCCATCTATCCATTTCATCACTAGAGATTTTGTTAGACTCACTATAAGTAACTAATAATACAGCGTGTCATGCGTTAATGATCCCACCTCAGCCAGGCAAACTCCTGTCTTAAATAATCACTTCAAAGTATGCCATAGGTGCTGGAACTAAGGGTCTGGGGGTGCTGCAGCACCTCGACTTGAAGTGATTTCCATTATATACAGGGTTTACAGTTTGTATCAATGGGTCTCAGCACCCCCACTATATAAATTGTTCCAGCACCCCTGAAGTATGCCCAAATTTTCCAGTGCAATTTTGTTTAACCTGTAGTTAAAGACCACCCTCTACTACACAAATGCTTTTATTCTGGACTCCCATTTAGTCACTGAAAACAGGCATCATTATATATCACTATCATCAGACACCCTAAACGTTGACTTAAGACTGCCAGGATATAAACGTTGCTAAAAATACAGACTGAGAATGTTACAGTTAATAAAGCCTAAGGGTCAAAAAGAATGGCAAGGGTCATGTTGCCAGAGAGTATAAAAAAATTTACAGTTCACGCATACTCTTAACAATATTCAGGGTCAGATACAGACACTGAAAATAAAAACACTATGTGCCAGTCAGGCACGCTTCCTCATCCTGAGTAGCATGTTACTTTATTTCAATGGCAATACTCATGGAGTAAGGTACTTTTCAAAGTGCATAAGGGTGTGACACCCTGTGTTTTATTTTCAAAGTGCTGAAAAAAAGCTCCGTGTAGCTCAAAAGCTTGTCTCTTTCACTAACAGAAGCTAGAGAGACAAGGTGGGTAAGGTAATATCTTTTATTGGACCAGCTTCTGTTGCTGAGAGACAAGCTTTCAAGCTACACAGAGCTCTTCCTCAGGTCGGGGGTTGTGAGGTACTCAGAGTGTCACAGCTAAATAAAAGATCGAACATATTTCTTATGCTAAATAATGAGGAGTCCTTGTGGCACCTTAGAGACTAACAGTTAGGCCTGAATAAAGACTGGGAGTGGATGGGTCACTACAAAAAGTAATTTTCCCTCTGCTGATACTCACACCTTCTGGTCGACTGCTGGAAATGGGCCATCTTAATTGCATTGGCCTCATTAGCACTATAAAAGTAATTTTACCTCCCTTGGTATTCACCCCTTCTTGTAAACTGTTGAGAATCGGCCACTTCCACCTTAATTGAATTGGCTCATTAGCACTGACCCCCCACTTCGTAAGGAAACTCCCATCTTTTCATATGCTATAATATATATTCTTCTTACTCTATTTTTTCACTTCATGCATCTGATGAAGTGGGTTTTAGCCCACGAAAGCTTATGCCCAAATAAATGTGTTAGTCTCTAAGGTGCCACAAGGACTCCTCATTGTTTTTGCTGATACAGACTCACACGGCTACCCCTCTGAAACCTGTCATTATGCTAAACAGCACATATTCTAAGGGGCCGTTAAAGGTAAAGTGGTCCATTAACATCCCTGTGCCTTAGGACACCCCGTTTGTGTAGGGTTTCAGAGTAACAGCCTAGTTAGTCTGTATCCACAAAAAGAACAGGAGTACTTGTGGCACCTTAGAGACTAACAAATTTATTAGAGCATAAACTTTCATGGGCTACAGCCCGATGAAGTGGGCTGTAGCCCACGAAAGCTTATGCTCTAATAAATTTGTTAGCCCCTGCGTGTAGGCTTCCCACACAATAACTATAGCTGGGATGGTCCCGGCAGGGGGGCAGGGGCTCTAGACTAAGGGTGGGCAAACTACTGTCCGCAAGCAGGATCCGGCCCTCCAGCCGTTTTAAGCTGGCCCTCGAGCTCCCACTGGGTAGCGGGGTCTGGGGCCGCTCCACGTCCCACTCTGGCGCTCCACCCAGGGCGCAGGGTCAGGGGCCGCTCCACGTGGCTCCTGGAAACCACAGCATGGCCTCCCTACAGTGCACCAACCGGGGAGCAGGGTTGGGGGCCGCTCCACAAGGCTCCCAGAAGCTGCGGCATGACCCCCTCTGGCTCCTACATGCTCCAATGGCCCCCTCCGGTGCTCCAATGGGAGCTGCAGGGGTGGTGCCTGCGGACGGGGCATGCTGCTGCTTCCAGGAACCACTTGAGGTAAGTGCCGCCAAGAGCCTGCACCCCTGAGCCTTTCCCCAAGCCCCAACCCCCTGCCCCAGCCCTGATCCCCTTCCCACCCTCCAAACCCCTCATCCCCAGACCCCCCTTCCCCTACCCCAAGACCCTGCCCTAATCCTCCTCCCGCCCTCCGAATCCCTCAGTCCCAGCCCGGAGCACCCTCCTACACCCCAAACCCCTCATCCGCAGCCCCACCCCAGAGCCCGCCCACACCGCCCAGCCCAGCCCAGCGCCCCCTCCCACACCTTGAACTCCTCATCGCTGGCCCCACCCCGGAGCCCGCACCCTCGAACAGAGCCCTCGCCCCAACCCCAATTGTCTGCGCATTCATGGCCCGCCATACAATTTCTAGTCCCAGATGTGGCCCTCGGGCCAAAACGTCCCCCCATTAGCTCCGGCTCTACGATTCCAACGGTGCCCCCCGCCCCAGGATTGCCAGGGAGCAGCCAGGGGACGGTTGCGGGGACGGGGCCCCCCGCCCCCGCGGGATCACAGCGGCCCAGCGAAGGGAGCAGGGGCCCTGGCCACGCTGGGGCGAGTCCCGGCTTCGCTCCGGGCCTGCGGGGGACCCTGGGCTCGCCCTGCCAAGGGGGCGCAGAGCTGGGCGGGACTGTTCCCGCCGGGACCGGTCAGTGCAGGGGGCCGCCCGCGGCTCGGGGCCGGGCCCCCAGGGAGCTGAGCCCACCGAGCCCCGGGGACCCCTGCTCCGCCCCCGGCCTCACCTGCCGTCTCCATAGCAACGGCCGCGCCGCGGGGCCGAGGCCCCCGGCTAGAGGTGTCCCTGCCAAACGCCTGATCAGAACCGACTGCACAGCCGAGACGGTCCGGCCCCAGGGGCCGCGGACCCAGCTGGGGCTACACCTCCGAACTCCCCGCCCCGGCCGCGGCGCTGGCTGCAACGGGGTTTGAAGCGGCCCATTAGGCAGTCGTACCGCTCGCCCCCGGGTCCTTCCGCGCTGGTGTCGCCCTGTCGCAGGCAGCGGCCGCTGGAACGGAAGGCGCGGAGCGCGAGCGTTGGGTGAGGCGTGCGGGCCCGGCCTGAGCTGGGGCCACGGCGCCTCTTGGGAGGGGATGGGGGGCTGCGTGCTGCTGATGGGACGTTGGTGTGGGGGGGACGCTGGGGGTCTGGACGAGGTGATGTGGAGGGGGGGACGCTGGGGGTCTGGACGAGGTGATGTGGAGGGGGGATGCAGGGGGCTGTGGACGAGGTGATGTGGAGGGGGGACGCTGGGGCTCTGGACGAGGTGATGTGGAGGGGGGATGCAGGGGGCTGTGGACGAGGTGATGTGGAGGGGGGATGCAGGGGGGGTCTGGACGAGGTGATGTGGAGGGGGGACGCTGGGGCTCTGGACGAGGTGATGTGGAGGGGGGATGCAGGGGGCTCTGGACGAGGTGATGTGGAGGGGGGACGCTGGGGCTCTGGACGAGGTGATGTGGAGGGGGGATGCAGGGGGCTGTGGACGAGGTGATGTGGAGGGGGGATGCAGGGGGCTCTGGACGAGGTGATGTGGAGGGGGGATGCAGGGGGCTCTGGACGAGGTGATGTGGAGGGGGGGATGCAGGGGGCTGTGGACGAGGTGATGTGGAGGGGGGATGCAGGGGGGCTCTGGACGAGGTGATGTGGAGGGGGGGATGCAGGGGGCTCTGGACGAGGTGATGTGGAGGGGGGGATGCAGGGGGCTCTGGACGAGGTGATGTGGAGGGGGGATGCAGGGGCCTCTGGACGAGGTGATGTGGAGGGGGGATGCAGGGGGCTGTGGATGAGGTGATGTGGAGGGGGGGATGCAGGGGGCTGTGGACGAGGTGATGTGGAGGGGGGATGCAGGGGGCTGTGGACGAGGTGATGTGGAGGGGGGATGCAGGGGGCTGTGGACGAGGTGATGTGGAGGGGGGGATGCAGGGGGCTGTGGACGAGGTGATGTGGAGGGGGGATGCAGGGGGCTCTGGACGAGGTGATGTGGAGGGGGGATGCAGGGGGCTCTGGACGAGGTGATGTGGGGGAAGTTGGGGGATGTGATGAGACGCAGGGGGTTCTGAGAGGGGGGATGTGGGGGACTTGCTGAGGGTGATGTGCTGGGAAGTTGGGGGCTGTGGTGATGTGGGGGAAGGCAGGGGGCTCTGGACGAGGTGATGTGGAGGGGGTGATGTGCGGGACTGGCAGAGGGGCTCTGGAGAGGGTGGTGTGCTGGGGCTTGGTAATGTAGGGGGTGCTGGTGATTGGGGCTCGGAAGGGTGTTGGAGTGCTGGGGTCTGATGGAAGGGGTTCTGGAGGGGGTGATGTGAAGGACTTGGCAGAGAGGGGTTATCTGAGGGCACACTGGGTGCTTGTGCTGGGGGCTTTGGGGAGGATGACATTTGCCAGCGATACTGGGTGCTGGCAGAGGGGACTCTAGGGAGGATGATATGCTGGGCGATATGCTGGGCGTGGCAGGGGTGCAATGTAGGATGGGCTCTGGTTGCTGATTAACCAGGGGCTCTAGGGTGGGTGATGTGGGATGGGTGCTGGTGAAGAGGGGGGTCATGGGGGAGCACTGGGTGATGGCAAAGAGAGTCAGTTATCAAATGTGTTTAATAAATAAACTTAAATGACAGGGTGGAGGGGGGGGGCGGGATGCACCTTCATCCATGGTGCAGGAAAACAGTTGCCCCGATTATTCTAGTTACACATGGCTTTGTCTCTCTTGGTACTTAGCATCATGGACACAGACCTGTATGATGAGTTTGGGAACTACATCGGGCCAGAGCTCGACTCCGATGATGATGATGATGAACTGGGCAGAGAGACCAAGGATCTTGATGAGGTGCAATGAAACTTGCGCAAAAAGATCTTAATTTGTATTTTCACCAGAATAACGTAATACTGAAATGAAGCATAAAGAAAAGGAGGACTTGTGGCACCTTAGAGACTAACCAATTTATTTGAGCATAAGCTTTCGTGAGCTATGCATCCGATGAAGTGAGCTGTAGCTCACAAAAGCTTATGCTCAAATAAATTGATTAGTCTCTAAGGTGCAACAAGTCCTCCTTTTCTTTTTGCTAATACAGACTAACACGGCTGTTACTCTGAAACCTGAAATGAAGGTTATTCATGTCTTAAGTTTTCCTACTCCTGCTCTAACCTGTTTCTCCTGAATTTTAATCCTGACTACAGTTATCAACCGATCTCTGGTGCAAGCTGAAAAGTAACTGTTCCTTCTGTGTCAGTGTCTCCTGTACCCAGAAAATGATTTTTTCTCTCTCTCAAAAACAAAACAAAACAAAACCCCACACCACAGCAAACTTACTTAATGTTTTCAAGGAAAACTTTGATGTACTATTAAATATTCTGATTTAGTAGATTTCTAAAAACAAAGTATCTAAAAATATAATAAAAATTAAAAATCTAATAGGAAGCTGCCCTCTTGATAGTCAGAAAGAGACAAGGAAATTCAGCTTCCACTTGAATGTGTGGAAAAAAAAAAGAAACTTTCTCTGTTTTAAGTGAGTTTCCTTGCTGTTGTACGCATTCAAATAGGAGCTCCATATCTTGTGTTTTAAACAAGATCCTTACACTGAGTCCCTCATTATTTTACTCATACTTTCCGGTGTCTCCCATTAAGAGATGTTAACACCAACACATGACACTATTAGTCATGTTTAATGCATGACTGGAAGGTGTTCAGAGATTATGATGATGAGCTTGGTGTAAGAACATAGAATAGGGGAATATGAGTAGTATTTATATTTATGAAAACAGAAACAGCCACTGATATGTTTAGGAATGGTGCTGAAAATTGCTCTTTCACTGTGAGTTCTTTGGTAGATCTTTAGTGATCTAAGAAATTGGAACTAATCACTGGATTGTTCCTTTAAAGAAGTAGAGCTCCTAATGGTGCCAGTATTTATATGTATATGCAAAATAATCATTATTGTACTAGTGAAATCATAACTCACACACGTGGGGTTTTGGGGTTTAATGCACAGGGTTTGGTAGCTGCACTTTGATGCAGAAGGGGTCCACTGTGTCTCACTACTTGTACTGCCAGCCTTGGGTATGTTGTGCACATGGATAAAGGGTACTGGTATCAATTGCTTGCTGTGCAAACATCACTTGCATGTGACATTGGTATCTGAACAGCAGGTCATCTTTAAATCATTGTGGCTATCTGGAATGGACTCAAGGTGGAAAAATGGCCTCCAAACTGAAAGTGGGGGAGCCCATCAGAACGTTTTTCAGGACCTGACTTTGATCGGTGCCTGATACAGCAAGACTGGGACCTGCACTGCAGTTGCATATGATCTAGATTCTAGTTGTAGTTATGATGGCCAGATTCTTTTCCAGCTGCGTCAATGACTTGAAGTGTGACCATCAGCTAATCACCTACCCACTTACTGCCTCC